TACTGGACATGTCATCTCTCGCTCTTTTTGAACAGACTTTTCCTTCGGGATTCTTAGACTACCCTTCTTTTCATCTAAGAAGTGGAGGATAGTCTGGAAATTTGACTCCAGCATGTCACCGAAAATTTTCCAAAAACCAGTTTTCGCTGCAGCATTGCGCTCTTTTTCGTTCCGCGTTCGAGTTAAAGACTTCGTTTCCAATCCAGATCATGAATGCAACATTCTTCTGATTGATTGCCATCTCATCCTCTGGTATTTAGCAGGAAGTTCGTTTCTGGCCCTCAGTAGGCAGGCCAGCCCATCTTCAACCGCAACATTCAGCAGCAGCCTCGAGTTAGCCGCTCTTAAATACTTCCACTGGGTTTCTACAGCAGCTATCATCATTTGCACCCATTGAAATCGTCGTGTGATGTTTGCAAATTTCGCCGTCCGCAAAAGAGAATGTTTTCCATCTTATACTGTGGTCGTTCCTGTCGGGAAGTTTTCGTATAGTACTTCATCGTTTGCAGCGGACGGGACAATAACAAGTTTATGATCGATTGACAGCTCTCTGTCTCTCTTAAAGCGAATATTCTCTACCGGGCGCATATGCCATGATCAGTTGGATCATTGAGTTCTGTGGGCATGTTTCCCAGTAGCAGGTATATTAATGCACGCTTTAACGCTTGTTGTTTGCGCAAAACTGCAAGAACTTCATATCATTATTGTTGAAGTCATTAGGGCCGTTATTTCCAATCAGTCTTTCCATTTTTCAGTGTCTGCTCTGACCTGCGCATTGAAATCGCCCATTAGAATGAGAAACTCCGTAGTCAGTACATCGTTCCTTTAGGAAGTGGAAGAAATCAAATTCTTTCTCCAGACTGGGTGCATAGATCTGTAATGAGGTCAGCGCTTTAGCATGTTGTAGCTTCAGTCAGCTCCCACAAAATTCCGACTCATGCACCCCATCACGGTGTGGGAGTGACAACGACCAGAGCGCCAAAGCACGGTGGGACACGTGCCCTGGCAGCTCCTAGCAAAATATCTCTGGCCGGCTAAGCTCGGGCGGTACCACTGACAGCCTGGACC